GGTAGCTAGATACAAAATCAATACATGAAAATCAATAGCTTTCCTATGTCAGCAGGGCACTGCCCTCTCATTTTTTTTGCCACTACATAATTTTTTTCTATTGCCCTTTGGTAATGTAGAGAATAAGGTAGAGAAATAAAGATATGGTCAATAATGAGTTAGGAAAAATGGATAAAACCAGTGAGAAGCATCAGTTTAGTCTCCTCTGTGCACATTAGCTTTGAAATAGAGTGGCAGGCTCTGCTGGTGTGGCTCTAAGAGAGGCTCCACTGGCCTTACCAAAAGTCCTCGACATAGCACTTCTCCTTTGGTAAATAGACACACATGAAGTTCGGGATCTTCCTTACCATCTTGCCACTGACTGTAGCCTCCAGAGAATCCACCAGCTCTGCTGTGACTCCAATGAGATTGTGGTAGTCTGCTTGGATCTTATTGTACCGTCTCAGGTATGTCATTGACCTACGTTCAGCTTCGACCAGCTGCTGGTGGAGCTGCTGCAACATTTCTAAGGAGACAGTTTACATCAAAATGAACAAAAGAACAACTACCACACCATATTTTGCTATAACAATGAATACTATTTGTGTTAACATGTTACTTCTATTTTGTGCCACATTTATTTACAAAGTACTTTGTAACCACTGATTTAACATTGCTTGTATGAGATAATTCTCACATTACTTGCACTCTTTTGAAAAACTAAGAATATAAGTAAAAAAGTAAAAACAGCAAGTATTGGGGTCTTGTCTGAAGACTTACACCTTAGAAAACAGGCAGGCCAGAACCTACAGAATAGGATTAACAACCTGCTGTATGGAACTCTGACTGCACTGCTGTTCACCCAAGCAGATAAGGGTTGATAGCCCTCTGTGCAGGGAAACAGGTCTAAGGTGACATGTGTATAAGACCACGTCCTCCAGCGGGTGGCTTCCAAGCTCCTTGTAAACAAAGCTATAAAACTTAATTCTTAGAGCTAAATTGAGTGCTTGTAACATAGATTACCCCCTTGCTTCATCTGTTGATTTTTTACCCTATAGAAATAAAGTTTGGAATGCATGGTTGCTTAAGAAATAATACGGTTGTTTTTAAGTCAGTTTTCCGGATTCAGTGTTTCCTTTTAAGATTAGGATAGAATAAGGAATGTTAATTATAGACTATTGATTGATGTGGTATACATGACTTACTGACTATAAAAGACCCTTTGGAATAAAGATGATTGCTACTTGCCATCCTATGAGCAGTAGTCTGTTTCTTGCATCCATATAATTTTAGTCACGGACTAACACTTGAGACAAAGCTCTCTCCGTTTCCTTTCAAAACCTTCAACCAACAGCTTGTTTCTAGAAGTTCAGATGAATCATCACTGGGTTTCCTAACAAAATCTGTTTCCATCCAGATATGGTAGCTCACCCTGGTAACCCTTGCACTTTGGGAGTGGTGGGAGAATCCCATAGCCTCCCTTCCTGAGGTATAGGAAGACCCCATCTGGCTGGATGCCTACAGTTTGGCAGCTAGGGCACCAGCCATATATATCAGAACTGGTAGGTTCAAATCCAGCCTGGGCCTGTCAAACAACAATGACA